TTGCATTTCATAAATTTCCTCTATGTAGAAAGCCTCATGTTTTAGATTTAGTTCACACTGATGTTTGTTACATTAAAGAAAGATCTCTTGGTGGTACATTATATTTTGTGACATTTATTGATGACCACTCCAGAAAAGTGTGGACATTTGCCTTGAAATCTAAGGATCAGGTGTTGGATGTTTTCAAGTATTTTCATGTCAAGGTTGAGAGAGAAATAGGGAATAAGTTGAAGTGCATCTGAGCTGATAATGGTGGTGAATATAGGGGTCATTTTGAAGAATATTGTAGGATCCATGGTATCAGGCTTGAGAAAAGTGTTCCTAAGATTCCTCAACACAATGGAGTAGTAGAGAGAATAAACAGAACAATTACTGACAAAATCAAATGCATGCTCTCTCATGCCAAGTTACCTTAATCCTTTTGGGGTGAGGCTATGAGAACTGCAGTTGACATCATCAACATTTTTCCTTCAGTTCCTTTGAATGGAGATACTTCTGAAAGAGTTTGGACAGAGAAAGCCATATCATACAACCATTTGAAAGTGTTTGGCTGTAGGGCATTTGTTCATATTCCTAAAGATGAAAGATCCAAGCTTGATGACAAGGCTAAACAGTGCAGTGCATCTTCTTAGGCTATAGGCACGAAGAGTTTGGGTACAGATTATGGGATCCAGTGGACAAGAAAGTGATCAAAAGCAGAGATGTTGTATTTCTTGAGAATCAAACAATTGAAGATATAAAGAAAATTGAGAAGCCAAAATTCTCTGTTGATGTTCAATTAACTTGGATCCGGTTTTCCCACCTTCAGTTGATGGTGATCACGGGGGAACTGTATCAAATGAACAGAATGATACAGTTAGTGATGAAACTCCTGTAAATGAAAATACAGAGAAAGTACAGAATAAACAGGTACCTCTAGTTCCTTCACCACAAGTTCAGCTTAAAAGATCAATTAGAGAGAAAAGACCTTCCACTAGGTATCCTCCACATGAGTATGTAATGCTGACAGATGGGGGAGAGCCAGAGACTTATCAAGAGGCTATGTTACATGACAAGAAAGATAAGTGGCTGAAAGCAATGCAAGAGGAATTAAAATTCTTGCATGAGAATCACACCTATGATCTGGTGAAATTACCAAAGGGGAAAAGGGCACTAAAAAACAAATGGGTTTATAAATTGAAATCTGATGAGAGTGGCTCATAACTAAAATACAAGGCAATGTTGGTTGTGAAGGGTTTCAATCAGAAAAAGGGTGTTGACTTTGAAGAGATATTCTCTCATGTGGTGAAAATGTCTTCTATTTGAGTTGTATTTGGACTAGTTGGTATGACTTTAAAGAAAAACTTATATGGGTTGAAACAAGCACCAAGATAATGGTACAACAAATTTGACTCCTTCATGGTTGATCATGGGTACACTATGACCACTTCAAATCATTGTGTATTTGTAAATAAATACACAATGATCAACCATGAAGGAGTCAAATTTGTTGTACCACTATCTTGGTGCTTGTTATTTGTAAATAAATTTTCTGATGGTGATTTCATTATTTTCTTGCTTTATGTTGATGATATGTTGATAGTTGGACATGATTCTAACAAGATTGACAGGTTGAAAAATAAGCTTAGCAAGTCTTTTGCAATGAAAGACTTGGGACCAGCTAGACAAATTCTTGGTATGAAGATCTCTCAAGATAGATAGAATGAGAAGTTATGGTTATCTCAAGAAAAATATATTAAGAAGTTTCTTGAGAGATTCAACATGAACAATGCAAAACCAGTGACTACTCCACTTGCAGGTCATTTCAAGCTCAATACTAAACAATGTCCTACAAGTGAGAAAGACAAAGCTGAAATGAAAAAAGTGCCTTATGCTTTGGCAGTTGGTAGTTTGATGTATGCTATGGTGTGCACAAGGCCAGATATTGCTCATGCTGTTGGTATATTTAGTCGACTTCTCTCTAACCCCAGCAAAGAACATCGGACAACAGTAAAATGGATATTCAGGTATCTTAGAGGTATTTCTCAAATATGCTTATGCTTCAGGATTGGTAAAGTCATGTTGGATGGGTACACTGATGCAGACATGGCTGGGGATATTGATTCCCGAAAGTCCACTTCGGAATATTTAATGAATTTTGTAGGGGGAACAATTTCATGGCAATCCAAACTTAAAAAATGTGTTGCATTGTCTACTACTGAGGCTGAATACATTGCAGTTACAGAAGCTTATAAAGAGATCATATGGTTAAAGAAGTTCCTACAAGAATTGGGCATGAAGCAAGAAAGATATGCTCTCTATTGTGACAGTCAAAGTGCTATCAATCTCTCTAAAAATCCAATTTTCCACTCAAGATCCAAACACATTGATGTAAGGTACCACTGGATTCGGGATGTGTTGGATATGAAGTTGTTGAACATTGAGAAGATTCACACTGATGAGAATGGTGCAGACATGTTAACAAAGTCCTTGCCTAGAGACAAATTTGAATTCTGCAAAAAAGTTGCAAGCTTGGTGAACCCCCCCCCCCCATATGAGCTGAAGGGGGAAAATTGTTGGGTGTGGGTCCAGCCCATATGGAGGGGCCCACCCCACCTTCATTTGCTCCCAAAAAAGGAGCTATAGAGTGGAAAAAACGCTTCCACCTTTCAATTTTTTGGCATCAAGTTCATAACCACCTGACAGAGAAAAAACGGAAAAAAAAAAAAAAAAAAACATAGAACCGAAAGGATTTTTTCTGGTTCTTTAAGTTTTGTGAAGAAGAGGAAAAAGCTGGCTCTTATTCCATTCAAGATCAAGTTCAAATGTGCCTTTCAAGCCCATTCTTGATGATATTAAGTATTGGAGTTAAGAATCCCACTCCATTTCAGATTTGGTAATTCTTCTTCCTTTCTCTACTTCTCAGTTCAGATTTACAACAATTTGGTGAAATTTAAACCTTTGTTTGTGTTGTATCCACCTTGCATTTAGTGATGTTAATGCTGTTCTTGTGAACCAAGAATTATTTCCTTGATGTTTGCCTCTAATTGCAACTAGAGAAGGCGTTTGTACCCATTAATTTCTGAATTAGTAGAAGACTTTTACGGACCATAGGTTTCGTGGTTTTTTCTCGATTTTAAGGTTTTTCATGTAAAAATTTTGGTGTGCTATTATATGATGATTATTATCTGTTTTTCTGTTACTTGGCTTAATTGTTTACTTGTTATTATTGTTGTTGGTAAACCCATTTTAACACACAAATTTGGAGGAAAGGTTCTTGCTATCCTGTGATTGGTTTTACAATAATTTCTACTATTATAATATAACTTGCCCAACAATATCCAATACCGATACTTTCATCCTTATTTACACTACAAACAAATGCAGCCCAAGTGAAAAGCGAACAAATCGTTTAATTCAGTCACTTAAGCCATTATAAAACAACCCTTGGGATTCAACAGTGGATCATGTAAACAAGTCGGATCTGCTGCCCACAATACTCTATAGCTTCACATCGGGAACATCTCATTTGTCACGGGGAGATGTTCTCGATGTAGAGTTGTGGTGTCCAGTGGGTACATGCGAGTAGCAGATCCGATCATCCGAGCTCCATGTAACGACATCTACGTGTTGAATGGAAGCATGTACCAGTACCAATACCATTCCACTTTCAAAGAATGTCAAGGCTCAAAACCTCCTAGTTGAGTTATGTAGACTGTAGAGTTGTTTCAACTTTCAACCAGTCATTAACCCAGCCGGTCAGATTGGTGATCCGATCACAATCCTGGTTTGAGTCAACAAATAAGTAAATAACCTGCTGTGACTCCAGTCAACTGTCCGTCAATCCACATGGTTGAACTATTGATCCATCTGATCCATTCAATGTTACTGTTTTTTTTTGTATTTTTAAATATAGTTTTTTCATAATAATAACATCGCAGGTTGACCCATTAACCCAAACGGTTGAACTGCTGACCTATTGACTCAGAGAGAAAAACGGTTCAACTTCTGAGCTGGGTTTTGGCTCAAATTCCGGCTAGTCATAAAAATCTAGCTTTCGCATCTTAACATTCTCTCTGTACTACACTTGAAAGAAGCTAATGACATTCTTAGATAGCTGAACAGGTTTCCTGAAGATGCAAACAAAAGGCACACGTGCATGCATACATGCACACCCGAGAAACTTGATCTTTCTTCCCAATCCCAACATCCCCACCAAACACTCTCGTATAGATTATGTCCTGATTTCATCAGCCCAATCCATATGTTCATATACATATTCATATGTACATTCATTCTTATATGCATATTAATAAACATATACTGGGAACAGGTTTCCTGCAGATTCAAACAAAGGCAGAAATAAGCACTCAACTGCAAACTCAAGAAAAATTATCTAAAGTACATACAGAACATATCAGTAAAACCAAATCAAACATGCTTATACTATATAGTACACAGGAGATGCGAGAAACAACTAAATAATCTAATGAGTGCAAAATTGCGTTTCTCAATGTTCAGTCATGTTCTAATACCAATAAAAGAAAAAAAAAGAAAAAAATCTCGGGCATGTTCCTTTCGCTATGCCAATATCAATTTACTTGGCTCAAGATGCAACAGAAATCCACTGATAATGAAAGTTTCTGATAAAGAAATGGAAACAATTTTGGTGTTTCTATGCCACGAAAGTGCATCCACAAACCCCAGAAGCTCATGGTAGTGGAACCAACAGAACATAGAAGCAGGAGAGGTCATATTTTTAAGTATCTGAAAAATACACAATGACCACACTTGGAGGATTATTACAGAGTGGAAAGGCATCCAGGAGTTGGAAGATAGAAAGAAATAACCGATATGGAACAAAAACCTGTTACCCAACATTGTAATCTTCTATTGGTACACCGTACACATACTCTAGGCACATGGAACAAAATATCAAGCATACTACTGCATTATATACTAATGCACTCTATGTATAATTTCCTTAGAACACTGAAAGGGCAAAATAGGAAGGTTCTAATATGCACACATGTTCAATATATGATGCACATACCCTGTGGAAAGACAAGGAATCCCTATTTTTTGATAATAAATTATGACATAAGGATGCAATTATCTTTTCAAAAAGCACACTTTGACCTGTCATCACAAACTGTGTTTTCCCGAAAACTTCCCAAGAGGAAACCTAGGACTTGATTACAATAGAAGGATTAAGAAAAAGTTCCAGAAAATTTTATTGCTGAATGCTGTTCCGTCATTGAAATTTCTACCATATATACGATTTGATCAAACAAATACTTGAATATAAAATGTAAATGTTTCTTTTCTATGTCACATCATATTTTATTATTTTTAATAAAGGGGAGACACCCCTAATTACTAATAAAAAAAGTAAATGTCTTAAAAGGAAAAAAGTACCCACATGTATTAACTATACCATTATAAAAAGAGGCTTCTTTTGTCTTTTCACTGGATATGTACACATATCTATCAAAAACAGGATTCACCACAATCCATAAGGGTGCAAAAAAGGACCCTCAGAAAAACCCTTACCTTTATCCTTCATGTTGATAGCAGCAAGGGGGGATTCCTTGTTTCTTCTCATAGGAATTTGGCTTCTGTAACAAACCAATGCAAAGGACCTTGTACAATTTACTTGTACCTCCAGTTATCGGAACTGAATCTAATTGTATGATAAAGCCATTAAACAGATGTAGAATTCTTTATAGAATTGGATTCCTGAGAAAATACATAATTATCTCGTTGTGAGGGAGATGATGCTGGTGGGATGTCTGCTTTGAAAGGCTGAGATGCCAGATACTCAAGCGCAACAACAATATCAGCAATGAGAGGACGAAAAGTTGGCTGTTCCTGAAGGCACATTGCTGTTATGGCAATTGCATGGTGCAAACAACGGAGAGGGAATCGCCCTTGCAGCTGAGGATCAACTAACTGAACAAACTTCCTGCGGTCCTTAAAGAATGGCCGAGACTGAAAGAGAAAATTCTGAAATTAACAAGTACACCTGGGATGCTTATGGATGCTGAAAGGTGCTAAATTTCGTTTTATGAAATATCTTGGAAAAATTAGAATTCATTCATTTCTGTGGCCTCATGTTTAACTTGTGATAGCCCTGGAAAATGTTAAGACATCTCAAGACAAGGCTCCTAGATGGTATTTGGGAAGTATATTAGGAATGAAGAATTGAAATTGGACGAAATCTGCCTAAAATAGATGTTCAAACAACACACTGAGATCCACCAAAATCAAATAATGCCTTCAAAATTTTCCAGGAAGGGAGTCCACAAGAACAAAATACTAAGAAGTCAACAAAGGAAAGGCATCAAGCACTCCATGCATTTTCAAGTGTATGAAATTAGAAGCGTGAATGAAATAAAGGCAAGGCCTAATGAAATAATTATTGGATTGGATACTTCTTCCATACGTTTTAGGTCACATTTTATATCAATTTCCTTTTGCAAATATTCAAGTAACTTACACATGGGAAATAGATGCTCATTGTAACCAGAGGGAAAGCACCTAATAAAACATATGATGCTTGCTACATAGTAACATAAAAGTTGGAAATGAGGCTTGCAACTGATTAGATTTTGACTAGACTAAATATAAAGGTTAAGACTTAAAATTGTGGACTACTTTGAGACATCTCATGATTGCATGTTCTAAAGTACAGTATATACCAATTGTTGGTTGACATGAATATGGTGTATGGTGAAGATTCTGCAGTCCCCAAATCTCTTAGGAGTGAATCACAATATATTTACTCAAAGGAAAAGTATTCAAGGTGTGTTAATAATCTTTTCTTTTTCTTTTTCCTTTTTACTTTATTTCTTCTTTGTTTGCACAAGCAGTATAAAACATCTAAATATATAAAAATGGAAAAATCACCAAGAATAGGGGAAAATAAAAAGAATGACATATCTCACCCAAGAAACTAGATTCTGCTCTCCCTGAACCTTAGTACAGTCGATGGCCTTCCTCCCTGTGATCAATTCCAACAGAACAACACCAAAACTATAGACATCAGATTTGAGTGTCAGCTTTCCACTCATGGCATATTCTGGGGCACAGTATCCATATGTCCCCATCACCCTTGTTGAAACATGAGTGTTGTCACCAACAGGTCCCAGTTTAGCAAGTCCAAAATCAGAGAGCTTGGGATTGAAATCATTGTCTAACAAGATGTTTGCTGATTTCAAGTCACGGTAAATAACAGGGGGGTTTGCTTTGCAATGCAGATACTCAAGGCCTCGAGCAGCACCAACGGCAATCTTCATCCGTGTGTTCCACTCAAGTGGTTCTTTGTTAGGAGTCAGATCTAAGAAGAAATACAAGAGGTTTGATTATAAGATGTACTAGAAATTTAAAATTGCAACATCTTACAAGCCAACCAATATGAAGTTGTCAATAACAGAAGAGTTTATGCTCTCCCCACAAGTCTGTTCCACTCTTCCTCAAGGAGACAAGCTATGATGCCTAGATATAGATATCTACACAGACATGGATATGGGAAAAGGGGATACAACTATCCATATCTTAAAATCATGGACAAAGATATACGTATAGTATCCATACAATATGCTTATATAATGCTTCTGTATCTAATTTTTTAATCAAAGTGTCATTTCTTAAGACTTATGTCATGTGAAAATTAATTAAATTTCTAACATATACAAATTTTCATTATAGTATGTTTGTTAAAACTTAACTATATACTTTAAAAAATTTATGTTATAGACTATATCTAAAAGTGTCCATGAAGTATTTGGTGTCATTTTGGGTATGCATCATGTTCAAACACTGGTAAGCTAGGCATGTACAGATATCTTGGTACAATAGCATATTGGGATATCAAGTTACAATGGTAACTCTCCATTCTTCAATATGGGGTAGTTTAGACAATGAATGTAACAAGCCATGAATTCGATACATCATATTGGGCCATGTTTATTTATACAGTTTGCCACCCCTACATAAAAGTTAAAACTGGTGCTTTCTTAATCCTTCAGGGTATGGGAAGAAGTACCTAGTAAGTTTTATAAACTGTAGAATCTTAGAAACGAGAAAAAAAAAAACCATAGTTTATTCTGGATCAAAATGCTTGCTAAAAGTTGACAGTGTAGATATTTTACCATGGTTCAAAATATATCAGTCCCTTGTAAAATAGAAGAATATTGTGAAGACAAATGAAAATTTGTAAATTTAAACTTTACTCTTAATTAGAGTAATTTTATATCCATGAGACTTTGAATAATAAATTATAAAATTTAAATAGGGGCCGAAGTGAAAAAAGTGAATTAGTGAACAACCTAAACCTATGCATAACTTCAAACACCCTGTTTATGTTTGTTTTCTTTACAGGATGTAAAGTGTCAAGGCTGACGCATGTATATCTTTAGGTTTTTTATTCTTTTTCCTGCTGATTGCACGTGTATTATGTTTAGAAAACCAGATATGGCATTTTTTATCCGAATAGAGTGCAAAGGCAAGACAGGATACATGTAGCTGATCCCAAGTGGTTGGGTTAAGGTGTTGAGCTGAGTGTTGATATGTGACATCTAATGTGTTTTATGAGTTTCTTTTACTAACGAGTTGTTGTTAAAAGCCCCTGTATAGATACTACTTGAATGTGCAAGAAGAGAAAGGACTATCATAGTTGTCAGGGTGACACCTAGGCAACAAGCATCCAGGGAAGGTCGCCTCGGTTAATCACCCAGCTATTTTATGCACAAGCTATGAATTTTTTTATTTTGTTTACTTTTTGAGATTATAATAATAAATACAAATTATTAGATTATATATTCATTTTGTGGGTTTATATAGTAGTTCTGTTTTTATAATTTTCTTATTTGTTAGGGTTCAATCAACACACATGTTGGTGTGTGCTATCTTGAACCCTAAGAGACTTCAAAATCTGAACTGATAGCAAGAAAAAACTTAAACAAAAAAACAGGGGATCAACCCCTGTATTTTCTGCATTTTCTTTTCTTCTTTTTATTCTCATGAATATGCTGATTCTTCTATCTTCCAATGTGAAGTTCATACTTTTATAAAGATTATGGATCACTACTTGGCTTCCAGTTGCTATGAAACCTAAGGAATTACCCTAGGATTTATGTTTTTATACTTGAAAAAAAAAATCAATTGCCTAGGCAACTAGGCAACCCCCCCCCCCCCCTCACCTAGCCTTGTCTTTTAATTTCTCAATGCCACTCATTCCATTCTAAAAATTCTTTAAGTTCTAGCACATAATTCTGTACTTTTCCTAATATTTTCTTAAAAGAATAAAAGTTTTGCACCTTTCCAAATTTATCTTGAAATTTCCCTATTTTTTTTGAAGGACCTAAATTGGAATTGCAAAATGAATATATGTGGACTATAGAGGTACAGGTACTGAATAGGTGAGTCATTTCAAATTTCAATCACCAACAATGACTTGAATGTTAATAACAGCATTTTCTATCTATTCAAAGATAAAGCAATAAAAGACCTACCATGGTAGGGTATATATCCTATACAATTAAGAGAATATCACTGCTTATTGTACTTGTGGGGCCATCTGCTGGTGGGTCTATGTGGACCCACCACTCTGCCACAGTAAGGGCAGGGATCACCATGAAGGATTGGATCCAAGATCCAAATTATCATATCTTCAAATGAGAGCTGATATACTAATAAAGCATTCATGTGACTTCTCTACCCATGAAGAAATATACATTAGAATAATCACTTTTTCTGAAAATATGTTCATTTATGAGAACCTAAAGGACCAAAACATGGGGAAGAGGATTCCTGCAGGGAAACAGGCATTATGATAGCAAGCATCATAATGATTTGTGCATGTTGATAACTTCCCCCCTCCCCATTTAAGGAGATCTGGAAAATAAACAACCTTGGAAATAATGCAGCAGTTATATTGATTTTTTTCCTGATTGGAGAATGTTTCACCTTGAGTTTCTCCACTTCATTGATGATCAATGTGAAAGTATTTGGTCAATGCCAGTGGACTATGACTAATCATTCAATCTTCTTATGCAAAAGCAATGAATGCAACAAGGAAAAACCTAGAATTGTGGGGCATGAAACAGATTCATAAAAGATCCAGGCTATCAAAATTTAAATTTAAAAAAAAAAAAAAAACAAGTATTGTGGGCAAGAAAAATACCAAACAGATGATCTTCCAAGCTTCCCATCGGCATGTACTCATAAACCAATAACCTTTGATCGCCATCAGTGCAATATCCTATCAAGTTGACAAGATTGGAATGGTGCAAGAGGCTGAGCATAAGAACCTCAACAATAAATTCCTGATTCCCCTGAAGGCCATTTTGATCCAGTTGTTTGACTGCAACAATCTGATGAGAAAATTCAAAATACGAAAATAAGATCCAACCACCAGTTAAATTTCAATATATAGACAATCAATCCAACATGAAACAATAACATGAGAATATGCAGTAAAGATCAATAGCACCAGGTCCTTTTCGAATAAAATTCAATCGTGCTAATGATGAAAGAAGTTTCTAATCAATTAGAATTCCTAGTAAAAATCACTCAGTGACTAAAGCAATAATGAAGAGAAGAAGGGTTAGAACATAGAAGTGAAAGCTCAAACATGTCAAACAACTTGCCTGGCCTGTTTCCAAGCGCCCTTTGTAGACCCTCCCGAAACCCCCTTCCCCGATCAAATTAGTGGCCTTAAAATTTTTTGTGGCGGTGGCAAGCTCGCGAAATGTAAAGCTTTGAGCTGCATTGTGTTTGTTATCTCTGTCTTTGCCCTTACTATTGAGCGATCCTTTTCCCTTGACTCGTTCTGCATGCACAAACAGAATTTGATTGCTAATTTTCACAATGCCGTACCCAAAAGCTCAAAAACATAAAATCCAGACACACATTCTTAAAATTCAGAGATAAAAACATAGTTGACACTTTTTTTTTTTGGGGGGGGAGGGGGGGGGGGGTCTTTCTGCTGTTGATGTGCTTACCACTACTTGCCTTTCCCTTACTACTACTCTCTGCAAATACGAGCAGAAATCCGAAGAAAGCAAACAAGAAAGAGAATTGCATCAAAATCTGAGAAGATTTAAAGCAGGAAAAAGAAATGAAGGAATCGAGAGAGAGAGAGAGAGAGAGACCTGAAGAAGTACGACAATGGCGAGAGCGAGATTGAATGCGGTTACTGTCTTCAATTTTGTTTATGTCCCTTCGAGGACTCATGCAAGAAAAACAACCCATCTGTATAACACAGAATTGCGAAGAAGTAAATCCAGGAAAAAAACCAAAGAAACAATGAAAAAAATCCAGAGAGAGAGAGAGAGAGTAACTTGGACAAAACAATAAGAACACCCAGAGAAAATCAAGAAAAAATAAAGAATTGGAGACCCATTCTCCCCTCCCAAAAACAAAAGATAACAACCACTGACCAACCTTAGAAAACCAAACCACAGATCTTAAACTAAACAGATTCAGCTGCAACTAAAAGCTGAACAAAATACTGGTAAAAGAAAAAAAAAAGAAGGATACAAATATAAAAGTAAACAAGAAAATGCACTGTCAAGATTACGAAAAATAGTAAAAAACGAAAACTCTAGGAAGCATAACATAACTAGAAAGAAGTCGTGAAATCGACTGGTTCTATTTGTGTTTCAGGGGTAAAGCTAACACAACACTGCCACAGAGACTGGGAGAGAAATTGCGGTGGGTGTTTGTGTTTCTTTTCAAGGGCAGTTTTCTAGCTCCACTTTTAGCGGCTATTTTGTCGGTGTTCTCTTTTTAAAGTTTAATCTCTCTCTCTCTCTCTGTAATTACCTTTGATGATTGTTGCGAGTCGCTCTCAGTCCCCTCCCCGCCTCTCTCTCTCCCCTGGTTTCTTATGCATTTAAACATTTTTGGTGGGTAAAAGTTATAATTACCTTACTATCCTCTCTGTTTTACTCAATTTTAAGGTGCCGTTTGGTAACTCTTGTTAGGAGGATCTTGTGAGTTGTGACAGCCCAAATGGCTAATATACGTAAGCTTTTGAAGTCGCATCTGGCCAATCAAGGGCTGGTTCGTTGGTGTGTTAGGTGGATCAAATCCGCAACATTGTATTTGGAAACAATGTAAATAGAGTGTAAATCCCAGTTCAAGGTATTTGCATTCTAGTTCTACTTCACTTTTGCCTGTATTGGTAACATTACATTTATGCATTAACAAATGACAGAAAACACATTTTACATTGTATATTTACATTGATAACAAGATGTAAAAATACACATCAATAAAAAATAAGTAAATTTGTATTCAACTCGGGTTTTGATAAAAAGAAGGCATATTCTTTATTAGAATTCGTGTTTGCATTCATTATAGCTAAAAGTCTGTTTGATAAGAAGATAAATTTGTTAGTGCAAAACTAATCCAATTTTATAATTTATATGAAAAGTTTACACTTTATATTTTTACATTCACGCTTATTTGCATCATTTCCAAATGAAAAAAAAAGGGTATGGGGGAAATTATTAATGCACCGAATACCAAAAAAAAACATCTTTAAAAGGATTCCATTGAGATATCAGAAATACATGATCCGTGTAAAACATATAGACAAAGATATTCATCAAAATTTATAGGATAGTTTGATTAGTCAAAGCTCTTCGGGTACCATGTCTTTTTGTATTATAGATTTTTTTATTTAAAAATTAAAATCATTTGGTTAATAGTTGGGTCTGATGGGCTATTAAAAGCACATTTGAAGGTTATTTAACATATAAAAAGACCCTAAATTTTCATTTGAAACTTTCAAAAATTCGAGAATTTCAGTGTTTTTGGATTTTTTAGGCACGTTGTTTCAGTCTTCTTGGCTTTTTCGTTATCAAATTGAAAAAGACAAAAAAAATGATTATATGAAAAGACATATCAAACGCTGCCTAAGTTATTGCCCTTGAATTTGACACAACTAGCACTTGCCTTCTTTTTCCTCCTCCCCACAGTTGCCATCTAATATTTATTTAATGCTAAAACAAAGTTATTAATTTAATACAAACAACTCAGTTTTTCTGAATAAAAAATGGCAATAAATAATCAAAATTTTCAAGGATCAGATTCAGATCCACTCCACCAAAATTAAATCAATTTAAGCTTGTCTTTATATTTATTAAAAAATTGCATTGCCGTATGGTTTTTCTTGGAACTAAGACATTGAGCCTAAACCAATTGTCTTGGTGGATCCCACCATTATTTTAAGAAAAAATTTGTGACTGTGGGTATGGCTTCTCTACTCTGTTCCAGACGTCACAGCCTCACAGGTGTAACCAAGTTTTTAGTAATATATTTTCCATTTGTTTAAAGAATTATTCTTGGGATCGGACTATCTAAACCTTTTTTTTTTTTTCTTTTGTTTGAATTATTTGGACACGTCCCATTTTCATAAAGGGGGCACTAAGGATGATCATGGGATGGGCCCTGCCAGATTTTTACAGGGTGTTAACGGCCATGAGGCCTATCTGGGCCCGGCTCGGCCCACACCCCGGGCCTAATAATACATGCCGGGCCCAGGCTGGCCCATATATAAACAATTAAAAATTTAATTTTAACTTTATAAACAAAATTAAAGGAAATATATTTATAAGTTTAATGTATATATATTATATATAATTTGATAAAATATTATATCAATTATCAAAAAAATATAAGGGTCCATTTGGTTTGTGGTTAGAATTAGAATCAAAATCAGAATGGTCTATTCCCATAGGATGTTTGGTTCAGACAGGAATGAGAATGAGAATTAGAATCAGCAGTAATGGGATTTCATTCCTAAGAGAGCATTCGGTTTATTTGGTTAAAAACCGAACCGAATAAACCATAATTTTTAAAACCGAAATAAAAAAAATGAAAACTGAATTACAATAAAACCAAAATAACCGAACCAAAATTTTTAGTTCAGTTTTCGGTTATTTCAGTTAAAAACCAAATTTAATATATATATAATATTATATATTATGACCTTATAATACACATATATTATTATAACATATATTATGAAATTTAATTTCATTATAATATATCAATATATAAATATATAGCATATTATATATTAAATATTATATATTATATATTATATAATGAATTTTAGTTAATTCAGTATTTTCGGTTAACCGAATTTCTAAATCTAAAAACCAAAATTGCTAAAAAACTGAATTAACCAAACCAAATTATTTAAAAACCGAAGAAACCGAATTGAAAAAATCGAAACCAAAATTATTGGTTTAATAATTCGGTTTTAACCAAATAATACTCACCCCTAAAAAGAGGAGTAGAGAATGGCCATTCCTTAAAATGGGAGAATGAGATTTCAATTCTATCCAACCAAACAATTGGAATAAATTCCAAACCCCTATTCCCATAAACCAAATGGGACATAAGATATTCTATCTATAAAATATTATTGTCAAATGTAAAAACTACAATTTTCAGATGGGCCGAGACATAAATAATCAAAATCGCTAAGGTGCACCCATACAGGTGAAATCACATCAAGTTTTCTCTCTTTTGCTTTGGATAGAACAGTCGAATATCTGATTTATTTAAATCACTACAAACATTTATGCAAGAATCTAACTATTAGAAACATGGAGGAATAATCCCCTCGGGATGCACAAAACACTGAGACTATAGCGTCATTATTGGCTTGTCGGGGTAACCCCACTTAATACAAAAGATTGGGTTGAGACTATGGATTTCATTAGTAAATTATACACTTGAGATGGACTAATTCCAAGGTACCCTTTTTCTTTTTGTCTATTAACTATGGGACGGGAGTAGTTATACGGACATTAACAGTAAGCGCGCAAATATCGATACTCATGTACAAAAATCATAAACATATATGTTAAAAAAATGAATTAGCGGGAACGATGCATAGGATTTGTTCAGTTAAAAAGATAAATAATATAAATATGTAAGAGTATATAATTATTTATATTTTATATATTATTTTTAATATTTTTTTATAATATAAAAATAATAATAATTAATTTTAGATGGTTTTTTTATCAAATTTAGGGATGGCAATTTTCTTCATTTCTTCGATCCCTGTGGGAATCCGCCTCAAATGGGGTGGGGATTTGGATGATTTTCCCTTGTAGGGACGGAGATGAGGAAGTTTTCATCCTCGTTGGCGGGGACAGTGCAAGGATGGGGAGAGCATTCCCTACCTCTTGGGAACCCTAATCCCGCAGGGACGAGGAGAGCATTCCCTACATGCATACATTTATATATGTATATATGTATACATACGTCTATATGTTAATATTTTTAGAAATATGGTTAAATATGTTTGAATCTTTTCTAATAGGATTGTAAATTTTAATTATTTTATTTTTATTTTTTAAATAAAATAAAAACAAAAATATAATGGTTGACATTATAAAGAATCATAGGGAGTGGGGATCCCCATGGAGACGAGGATGGGGATAACTTTGTCCCCATTAGCGGGGATGGGGATGGGGAGAGGCTCCTCATCCCCACCCCACCCCATTGTCATTCTTAATTAAACTAATGAAACCGACCAACCCGATTTCTAGTATTTTCAACACTGTTTTCAAAATCGAACCAGACTGGACGGTCGAACCGAAAAAATCGAGAACCAATCACCTGACCAGTTCCGTTTTTCCTCCAAAACTGCTTTTTCCCCCAAAATCGTTGATTTTGGTCAGCAAAAGCTGAACCGGCCGGTTAACCGTTTGAACTGTTCGAATGGTTTTGACCGTTTTCCAATTTTTTAAATTTTTTTGTCAGAACGGGCCAGCCATTCGGGTTGAATGGTCGAACCGTTTGAACTGGTAACTGAACCCCTAACCGATTCGGTCACCGGTTCATTTTTAAAAACCATGATTTCCAGTCAGCTTTGGTTCAACAATTTCCCAACCCAACTAGGTTGGATTAGTTTCGCTTAAGATTTGTAAACTAACTAAAATTGGAACAACCCGACCATAAATATATATTAATATTTTATATTTTAAATTTATTTTTTTAATACGAAAAAGTGGGAAAATTCCAATATTTCTTTCGCTAAAATATTTTATATCATAAATTTAACTTTTTAATTTTTTAATAATGTCATTGTAATTTTTTTAATTTAAATTTAATTTTTTAAGCTTAAATCTTTTGAGTTGATCGACCAAACTGAAAATTAACCCAAACCAATATAACTTGAGTGACCAACTCCCCAACTTGACCAAGTCGATTTGGTTGGTTAAATAACCTACAACTAAGGCGAACCAACCCGTGAACAATAGTTTAATCTCCAATAATTATTAAAAATTTATAGTGGAAATACACAATAAATTAAATTTAAAAAGCTAAATAAACAGTACTTTAAACTCCAATAATTATTGAAAATTTTCTAATAAATAACAAAACAAAAATAGATTTATACATAATTATCGAAAATATATTTAACAAAAAAGAATAAATATTTACTGAAATACAATAAATATTAATTTTAGTATATATAAATATATAATAAATATAAATTAAGTTTTTTAAATTATTATTAATAAACATTAATTTTTTTGAAAGTTATTTTTTAGAATTATTAATTGGTATAAATGAAATTAGTTATTTACAATATTATTTATTTATTTAAATAATATCATTATTTTAAATTTTAAAATATTAATTACTTGTTGAATTTAATAATCCATAAAATTATAGCACTATTAATACATAATTTTGTTATTTTAAATCTAGTTATGTTAAATATTTCATTATTTAAAATATTTAGTTATT